TCTGTGGTTGTATATGATGTGGAGTTAACAGTGGTCGTGTGTTCATATATGAACACAGGAAAGTTATATCCAATTCATTCTTTCTTATTCTCACACACATTCCTTTTTCTTCATTTCCTTTTGGAATTATCACTTTATCTTATCCACATTTTTTATTGGTGCATTATGGTTGTACATGTGGTACAATTTGTTGTTAAATATTTGTACATGCACATACTATAACAATATAATTTGGCCAATACCACTCTACGCATTTTTTTTTCATTGTTTTGCATCAGCAACTTAATGAGGCCCTAAGAAACTCAAAGGGACCCTGTATCCATATAAAAATATTTAATTGGGATTTTGTCTTTCTTTTCTTTCTTTAATCAATAAATTCTATCTTGAAAACGCAGATCTGCAAACTTGATCTGAAAAATAGTTCAGATCTGAAAAATAGAGCTTTTATTGAGACAGTTGCCCTCAGTCACCTGTTTAACTGTCCTTAATTTGTTTTGTTCTTATGCATTAAGCAACACTCTTTCTGACTATCCATCTATCTATGCCTAATAACATTATGATGTATTAATTATCTTCATAGGTCTACACATTTTTCATGGTCTCTAGCTTCCACTATAAACTTGACAATAATTACATGACCTTGCTTCAGATAGTTAATGACCACCATTGGCTAATGTTCTTTTTGGGTCCCCGATTGTTACAGGGAGCTTGTTCTGTAATATCCTCTTCTGCTATAAGTCCTGGCATACTGACAATAGCCACTTCTAATTCCCTCAATTATTCTGATCAGCCATTTACTAGTGAATTTTTTAGTGTATTAGTATATGGAGCATCTTTTGGACCATTCATAGAATACATTGACCCATAGTTTCCAACCTTAGATAATATAACTATTCTGATAGGCTCTTATCTCTGAACCTTTTGGTATTTCCTGCCAACATCTTGCATGACAGTCTAAATAGTTCCACTTTATCTGTGAGCTATTGATTTTCCTAAGATTCTGTTTGTTAGTATTCTCCTCCAGGGTCTTGATGAAATATTAAATCACCTCTTCTATATATAGCTTTCAGTTTTGCCCCAACTCTTTCATTTTACAACCTTAGAACCCTTAGGGTTCAATTCTATCCACACTCTCCTAGCTTCTGCCTGTATAGTTTTTCTAAGCTCAGTGATTTCTAAGTCACAGTGTCACATTCCTTCCTCATCAGTCCTACTTCTTCACATCCAGATTATGCTGTGATTTTACCCTGGTTGTAGAAGAGAGGTGTGTGTATATTTAACGAGCAGAGTTTAACATGGCAAGAGATCTCTACATTATTCTCAAGCCAGACTGAGCACTAGTCTTTAACTTGGAGGAGTGGGTCACTCTTGCAGACCTAGGGGAGTCAGGTGGAGAAGTCAAGGTTTTCAAGTATATTGACCCATATATTCCCATCCCAAGCTTAACAACACTCTTCCTTTCTGATCAGGAACTTGATCTTGGCATGGGAGACTTGCTATGCACCAAATTAACCCTTTATGGAGCACCTGAGTCCTAACTTGATCTGCTTTAATTGGCCCTCCATCTGTGGTAAATAGAGTGTTTTTCTATGCTGCCTCTGACATTTACCTTAAATTGGTAATTTATAATCTTGGCCCCTCCGCCCCGGCCTGCCGCCGGACCGCAGCGCCGGCCTGCTCACCTGCTGGGCGGTGCTGAGGGCCCCAGCCGTGGCGCAGCATCACCACAGCATCGAAAGCAGCCCGGTCACCGGCCGACTGCCAGCCACCGCCGCCAACCGGTGCAAAATCGCCCACCTGCGACCTCGCGCCGCCAGGGCACATGCCGACGCAGACAGGTCATTGTGCGGCGCCGCCCCCAGTCCCCAGGCACTGCCGGGCTCGCGCATGCGCAGTGCAGACGCAGACGGGTCTGGGCGCGCCACCGCACGAGGCCCCAGTGCGCAACAGGGCCCGCCTCTCGCAGGCGTCCGCACCATCGCCTGACTGTTAAGGGTTTGGACCGCAGCGCCATTCCACGCTGCCCTGCATCCGAGTTGGCCCGGGCGCTGAGGGCAGACCAGGCACCGCCCAGACACCCTTTTCCGGGATCCTCCGCGGGAATCGGCGCCCAGAGCGGACACCCCTCAGGCCGCCTCGCCCATGCCTGACTGCCGCTGGGCCACTGTTCAACGGCGATGCACCTCCAGAGAGGAGGACCTGCTCCTGTGCCCGTGGGGCCGCCCGGTGGTTAGGTGGTGGTTATGCCATTCCTGGGTGCCCGCCGCTGTGCAGCCAGGCATTCGGACTGACATCAGAGGGCCCCATGCGAGTGCTCGGCACCAAGGACAAGCCAGCCTGGGTCTGGGCGGCCTCTGGACCGCGTCTCCGGGGGCATAACCCTGTCCCTCCTAGCAGCCTCGTTTTCCCTTTCCCGGGTTCTGTAAAGGCGTGTCAGGCAACCAGAGCCTTTCTAAAAGCACCTGAAACCAGTGTGCTTCCATTACATGTTGGAAGCCCAAGGGTTTAGGAAAAGGCCCCTGGATGAGTCTGTCATCCCTAATACCAAAGGGAGCAGAAAGCAGTTACCCTCGACATCAGATTAGAAGTGTTAATAACTTGCAGCCAAAACGCGGAAGTCTCTAKGATGGCGAGACTTTTGCTGTCTCTACAATGGCGGCCATCGGAGATAATAAGAAGTCAATAGTCAATGGAGCCAGAGTGGTGGTGCCGCCTGTAATCCCAGCGGCTGGGGACGCTGAGGCAGGAGGATCGCAAGATCAAAGACAGCCTCAKCAATGGGTGAAGCGCTAAGCAATTCAGTGAGACCCTCTGCCACACGACCAGCGCTCGCTTCATGAAAGAAGGTTTGATTTATGAGTAAATGCTAGGGAGTTTTAGATTAAAGAGACAAGACTCCTATTACTTTTTTTTTTTTTTTTTGCAGACACAACATCTTTTGTACGTGGTGCTAAGGATGGAACCCGGGCTGCATGCATGCCAGGTGAGCGCGCTACCGCTTGAACCACATCCCCAGCCCATCCTATTACTTTTAATACCAGCTCCAGGACAGCGTCTCCTAGCTCCTGCCTCCAGCCACCTAATGCGGTATCCAGGTTTACAGGAGGGAGAGAACATGCCAGGGACTGGACTTTTATTGGGGAACAAAAAATTCAAGGGAAAATCCCATCCAATGAAGCTTAAGGGGGGCAGCATCCCAAGGTCAGGGGTGAGGATTGGGTCTTCACGGAAGTGGCCAGGCACGCCTATGCACAGGCAAGCCCTCAGACCTGGAAAACGATTGGGAATAGCTCTGACACAGCTGTGTCTAAGCGCCTCTCATCCAGCCAGGGAGGTAACTCAAATCACGTGCCATGATGGCCTCCCACAAAACCCTGTCTCTAATAATAATCCAAAATAGGGCTCAGACTATGTCTCAGTGGTGGAGTGCCCCTGAATTCAATCCGCGGTATACCACCCCAATGCAACCCCCAGACAAAATGCCATAATAGAGCATGGAATGTTTGTTGATGATGTGGCTGGAAGAACAGAGCCAGCAAAATGAGCTGGAATGTCACCATCATTCAGAAGAAGGCTGAGTTTGTTTCATGTGTTACAGCATCAACAAGGTGGGAACTCTATAACTAGAGTGAGTAAAGCATGGTTTGTGAGATTCAAAGAGTGCCACTGTCCACCCCACTTCCAGAGGAAGAGTGCACCTCCTAGCAACAACTGAGACATATATCCATATGTGCTGGAAAACACCATCAAAAGTGAATACAACTCCAGCAGGTTTTTGATGTAGATAACAAAGGCCTATATTGGAAGAGAATGTCTGAAAGAACGTTTATTTCAATGTGAGAAAGCTGACCCTGGGTCTAGATGGATGCTACTGCTTTGCCAGAAGCCAAGTGCCAATGTCTCGGCTTGGCACAGAATCACGAGCCACCACACAGCTTTGTAGGTTCAAACAGCAATTCTTTATTCCCGATCTCACACCAGCCTCCACACACGTTCAGGAGCAGTCTAAATCTCCTGCACACTTCACCTACTCCATGAGGCTTTTTCCAAATCCCATTTGAATCTCACGAGAACTCAAAGGTAACAAGCAGCAGGAACACCCTAATCC